AGAAAAATTTTAATTGATGTTTGAATTGGTAACCATTCTCTTGAATGCAGCATCTTCAAATTATATACTCGCGCAAATGCATCTCTAATCCTTCCCTTCAATATCATCGCAAGTAGTAGGTGGAACATTGTGTACAAGATTTTTTATATAGCTCTCAACAAAGATGTCCATTACGGTGAGGTCTGGACACCTACGTGGCCACTGACATACACCATTCCTACCTATTCATTTATTACTAAATTTTCGATTTAAATAATTTCTCAATATATTTAAAGAAACGTCATCAAGAAGAACCCAAACCAATTCAATAAAGACCTCTATAAAGACACGTAGATACATCTTACAAAAAGTCAATAAAAAACGAAATGGCACAAATATATCCAATACCGTTAGATATAGGTATAGGGAACCTATACATAGTTTGAAAGAGTTTTAAATTTCCTAACTCCCAAAGTAAAAATATACTGGGTGTCCCATTTAAAATACCCAAGTTATTGCTGTTTAAAGTTGAGAGAAGTATTCAGCAGTTCTTTGAACACCCTGTATAATACTAAGTGACGACAAATATAACAATTTATAACTTCAAGGATCTAAAATAGACCCTCCAAAGCTGCTTCCTTAAAATTATTTTTTTATTGCTAATATTAAATTTCTACGCCATGCCTGCATTTTCACTAAAATTGAAATATCTCACAAACTGTAAGTCCTAGGTATGCAGAACTTTTAATAAAGTTCACCTATTTTTTACGGTACTTTCAAAAATGTAGTAAAATACAGGGTGTTTCAATTAAAAATACATAACTTTGATATGGTACGCTTTTCCTAAACACCCTGTATATTTCAAAATATTTTTAAAATGTAGCCGTAATCAACCTACACATACCCACCCAAAACAGGTTTCTGTAACATTTGCCGTTTGTTCCCTAGCGACCGAGGCGTTACTGGTGGCCCACCCTGTATATTCAACGAAAATATTACAAATGTTAGTTCAAACTTTTATCTCTTTTGTTTTTGGTGCAATAATAATATGCAATAATTAGACCCTATTAAATTTCGCATCATTATAACAATGGTGTATCAACAAAAATGGTTCAGTTTTGATTTGGAAAATATTTAACGTTAATTCTGCTGATTTTCGTGTTTTAAATTTAGGTCAACTGCAAATTTCTAAATAAGATACAAGGTGATTCGATAGCTTTGTTACAAACTTTGGGATATAAAATTTGTAGAAAAAATTATATATACCTACATAGATCTGCTTTTCTTGTTTTGAAGTTACATTTTAGAATTATAAAGACTAAAATTTATAAACAATAATTTAAATTATATTTATTTAACACTTAGCGATATATACACATTTCGGAACAACGAAGATTTTCTTGTATCCGTAAAGGATTTATGTTGAGACTGACATAGAATGTGCCATCGTTGATTCTTTAGGGTTCTATTTCATGGAGAATTTCCTTCGAGTGACGTCATAAATAAAACTCACAGCGGACTAAATCCTAATGATCTGTAGTCGTGGTATTGACCCTCCACTGTCTATCCACTTGTTTTAAAAGTGAGTATTTAACCAGTATGATATTTGCCTTACTCGGTGAGCAGGGGCGCCATCATACTGATACTATATTTGTTCCCTAATATGAAGTGAGTAATTTTACTCAAATCTGCTAACTATCCAGTTAACATTTACTTTATTCTGAGCATGTAAAAAAACCAATTAAGAGTTTTATTTTTCTGTAGTAAGATTTAAATTAAAACTGTTACTTTTAGATTTAGATAGATCTGGAAAAAATGTCACAGAGTTTATATAATTTTTTTTCTTCGGCAGCATTTTTAACCCTTAAAGTTAGGAGATGGAATCGATGTTTCGGTAAACTTTTTGTTTCTTAATAAATTTTGATAATTTTGGGTAAAAGCTATGTTATTTGAATCTATTTCTACTAATGTACCTATTCAATTTACCGACAACTATTTTGAGTATTCGAAAACGCATCGATCTCGGTAGTCTATGTGCCGAAAAAAATTTATAGACTTCCTTTTTTAATTTTTCCGTAAAATAGGTGTACTTCTCTGTTATCGACAAAAGAAATTGTTTTCGCGATAATCGTGTTTAGTAGTGAAGATACCATCTTGTTTATGCCACATCTTAATAATAGTAAATATCTGAAAGCGACAGTTGGTTGTTTTCAAGTATTTATTACTAAAATGTGACATAAATAGGATTTTTATCTCGAAAACAGTTTGTTTTAAAGATAATAAACATGTAAAACTTTTTCACGTAAAACGGTGTAAAGATCTTAAAAACAGTTTTAGAAATTAAAAAGTAGGTCTACCATTTGTTATTCGGGCTAAGACTGTAGGTAATCAGTAAATTGAATACATTAGTATAAATTGCTTAAAATCACATAGCGTTTATCCAAAAATTATCCAAATTTTGTTAAAAACAAAAAAATCAAAACTTGTGATGTTATATTTACAAGACCTACACAAATCCGAGAGATTATCCACCATTTCCCGGACACTCTGTATATTTATTTTTTACTGATAGATAGCAATGTGGTTAATTTTCATGTAACATATAACAAATGTAGAATGTAAAATTCAAGTTATGTATCTAAATGTGTTATTGAAACAGATAGATTAAAAAGCGGTAACCAAAAAAGAAGTAAAAATTCGAATTTATAAAATGTTTTATTTACAACACTTTTTATATGCAATCCAAATCATTGCCAAAGAAAAAATTGTCCGTTTCAGCTGTAAAAAATTACGTTTTCCCTGTCTAAACAAAGAAACCTCGGATCCATCTCATCAACATACAGTGAATACAGTGAATACATACCTAATGAACTTTTGTAGTAACCTTACACTTTACGTTTTTAAGAAATTACTTATTTTGGTAGGAATTCATTAGAGGTTTGGAAGCGTTGTAGAAGCTTCTATTACCCGTTTCAAAATGATGGAGTTATCGTCTTTATAGAGATGTGATATCATTTAATAAAAAGTAGATATCTTATCTACTTTGTGAATTTTGAGTCCTTAAAATATCCGTATTTTGCGTACAAAGAAATATTCTTCTCTCTTGTTTGAATATCAAAGAATTCCACATTTTTCATATGTCCAGTTTCTGAATTATCTCCATTATTTACTTAGGCAATCTCTGACATTATCACTATCTTATTAATTTGCCAAATGTTCCTAAACGTTTTTAGATACGGTTTGGGAGATATTGTATGAAATACACCATTTGTTGGATGTGTTATGACCTGATAAGAGAAGGTCACGACTTTGACGCTAGAGATAATTTCGGTCTGCAAGAAATTAGTCACCTAATTAATGTTTTCTTAAGTGCTCAAATAAGGGACGAGATGAATATCATGGAAAGCCAACTGAAACTACAAGAAACCATTTCAATCTATTGTAATAGAAGACAAAATCTTGTCGTTTATGAATATTTAATTGCAGATATTTAAATTTTTAAATAGCTTTCTAGTTTCTACTAATTTTAATCATTAGATCGTTACCCCAACTTATTAAAATTGTGATAATTATTGTTAGAAGTAGTACATACATATATTAACATGTCCCACATTTAATCATAGTCAAAATTTCTTTCAGTGGATGACACCTACAATGACAATAAACAAATTGAAGATTTGTTGAATTTATATTGTTTTCAAAGACTTCATGACTGATGATATGAGATAATATATACCTAGTGTTGAGCTAAAAACTATACATCATGTGGGGAAAATTTTTATTATAAGATTGCGACAAATATCGATATTATCAGTCTTTACGTTGTATAAACTCTAAAAACGTTTTAAAAGGTACTTTATATGGAAATATATTCCAAATTGTTAAAGCAAAGTTGTTAAAACAAACATACTTTTATTTATTTTTTTTAAATTGAACATCCCGTAAATTTTTAGAGGTAACACTTCCTTAATATTATAGTGACGTAAAGTTTGATAAATTTACCTCTAGTCTATAGTAAGGGAAGTATGGACAAAATAAATGTTTTAAAAATATATTTTTGTTGGAAAGAGATCCTTAGTTTCTAGGCAACCAAGAATTTTGTTTAAGATTTAGTTTAGGGTACACTTCTTTGACTACACAGGGTGTTCCTAAATATCATGTACATAAGTGAGGGAGTAATTCTTTGGCTTATTTAATGACTAAAAATTAATATAAACATAGGTGTTGAAGATTTTTTTAGTTTTTTCTCTATAGTTCCTACGGTATTTGAGATATGTAGCTCAAATTTGAAATATAGGTTACGCTGTAGGGCTTACATCATTGGACAAACGCTTCGTTACCGATCTACTGGGTGCTGAAATTTCAAAATTTTTTTAGTTTTTTCACTATCATCTATCTAACAAGTGGAATTATTTTGTACAGGCTTGTAATATTCATTTAATTTATAAAAATTCTTGTGCCACGAAAAATGTATTTTAATATTATTTTCTGTCATTCCAGTCAGAAATATTAATAATAGATTTCCTAACGTACCTATTTTTCTAATAACTTATAGATCAAGATTATATTTCAATTTAAAGTCCCACGGTTTCTAAAAATATATGATGACATGATCATCCCAAAAAGTAAAAAGAGGAATGACGTTGTTTGTGACTAAAAACAAATGCCTCACTAAACAAAATTCAACGCCAGAGAATCTAATTATACAAATTAATAAATAAAAATTCCTAAAAACGTGTGACCGGACATGCATCGTTTGCGAGAAACAGATTGTTGAAAATTAATGGAAAATAAGATTTAAGTACATCATGTTGCAAAAAAAATAGTTGAGGGGAACCATGTGAATAACATTTTATACTTAAATAATATTATAAACCTTCTAACATATCAGTAATCAATTTTTTTCTGTTTTTGGAAAATCCTGTATTCTTTACGTTTTCAAAACTCATTGAAGTAAAACTGAAAAAGCAACAAAATTGGTACAAGGAATAAAAATTATTCCATAATTTTTTATTCTGCAGTTGCCCTGATCCTCGGGCGGGATGGAAAAATCTACCTAAGAGCCGCCGATGGACTGGAGGATTGGTTTGAACTACTGGAGGAATGTATGTTGACTAGCAAGGAACGAAGGAGGGCGCTTAGATGTTCGCACGATGGGAGACCTAGAGATAATAATAACATTACCACGACTTTAGACGAATGGTTAGCTGCTCGTCAGAAAATACGTAAGTAATATGGAAAGGACCCCGCAATAATCCTATGGGAATTGGGTTTCTGTCAAATTGTCTGAATTTTTGATATGTTGTAGATTTTGTCATCCTGAACAAAAGTCTCCATGGGCACAAAGTGCCAAAATGAACATTTTGGCAGCTACGGAGCTGCCAAAGCTCCCCTGACCCGTTGCAAAACTATTCATTTTCAATACTATTTACAGATGTCAAAAGCATATTTTAATTATTCTAATATATAGGGTAATGTTTTTGAGGTCACTGGATTCAACCCTCATGTCAGATTGGACAAATTGACCGTTGACAGCTGTCAATACACTGTCAACGAAGAATAGAAAAGTAAATATTCTCTTTTCACATTGAGAGTTTGGGCTTTTGAGGGAGCTGAATTCAATTCTCATGCCAGATTGGCAAAATTGACAGTTGACAGCTGTCAATTGACTGTCAACGAGGAATATAAAAGTAAATAT